ATTTGAAACTAAATGGTTCGCAGTTGCCTTTACACATGTTCTTATTATAGCTATAGTAATATATGTATGTACCTAACTGGGTCTAGGGTGTTATCATCTGCAAGAGTATGAAAAACTTGTAAAATGCATCTAGTTTTATTTCATTTTAAATTAAAAAATTAGGATTGCCTTAACTTATGGTGTAACCATAATAGTATAGATTCGCCTGTTGATATTGATTAGGAATATATATATATATATATAAATGTATAAAAAACTTGTAAGCTATATATGCTTATATTTCATTTGGCTCAAACTGCCTTTACTTATGTTCTTAAAATAACTATTATATTATATATATATTATACTCTTCACGGACTTGTAAGCTACGTATATTTATATTATGGCAATATCAATTTATCTATATATATACCTTATGGGGTCGTAGATTTAAATATATTCTCTGCAAGAGTATGAGCTTTCCATAAAAAAACGACTTGGCATGGTCAAGTTTCTTTTATTTTAATTTATCTGCGCGCATAGAATATTTGACCCTTGCTTTCCATCATGAAAACTGAACTTTGAGAAAATGTAGACCAGGTTTACAGTACTTTTTGTCTCTCAGTTGTTGTCAGCTGCTTTCTCGCTGTCGCTTTCTTCAGCTACTTCATGGACTTTATGAAAATCGCATACAAAGGCGATAAAATGTACATGCGTGTGTGAATACCAGGCTAGTAATACTTCTGAAAGTACAAGTGGATTTATTTACTATTAAAATAATATACTGATAATAATAATTGTTGACGTTCTCCGTTTTTGGTATTAAAGCTGCGTTCATTTCAAGTAAGATTTAAAGAGAGCCCTCTACATGGTAAAATACCTGAGGCATGCACACTTTTTACCTGGCTGTGGCGTAAGAAAACTTTAGGCAAATATGAATGAAAGTTTAGATGAATGCTCAAGCTGAGCGCTTCAACGGAAGCGGAAGTCAATTTTTGTGCTATAGAAATTGAAATGAAATGTCAAGAAAATGAAGCCAGGCCAACAAAATGAGAAAAGTTTGGCGAGCATAAAAGAAAATGTTGCAAATACATACATTGAGCTGATGACATGTATATGTATAAATATGTATGTACACATCCATTTAACTACATAGTCGAGTTTTATGGCTGACAGGAACAGCAAGCTGAGGCAGAGCGCAAGGTCGCTCTTCAAACTCAAATTGCTGCCTTTTTGTTTGACATTATCGAAGGATGTGGCCCGTGCTGATTGTTGTTGTTGTTGCTGCTGCTGCTGCCAGGTCTTCGGTTTGCTTTGCCAGCAGTAACAGATACAGAAACAGGAGGTACATGGCGTATAATAAAAGAAATAAAAGCACTTTTGTCCCCGAGTCGATGCGGGCTATGTAAACACAAACACGACAAGCGACCCAAAACGCGCTTTGATCTGCCGCCTGGACTGCTATACCCAGACGACAGGAGCGTAGCTGGGGGCTGCTGTTGCTGATACTGATGCCTCATGCTGCATTACGCGGACATTGAACTGTCAGGACATGCGGCCCATTGTTCACGTGCTCGTGTTGGGCGAGCAAGTTACTCAATTACCCAAGTGTCCAGTCGAGCTTATCAGCATTGGAACAGGATCGCCCCGGCGAGCAGCTGAACCCCCGGTGCTCCAATGCAGATTGTTACCATTTTATGTTGCATCCTGTACAGCTGCGAGAACCCCCGCCACGACTCCCTTTGTTGCTCGCTTTGATTAAATGTCAAAACAATTGCGCGCTGCAGCATAATCAAAGCGCTGCTTGCGTAATTGCCCAATGAAGCGGAAGTGGCTCGAATACGGGACGCGAGCTCACAAAAAAAACAAAGAACAAAAAACTGTAAAAATAACGAAAATTTGCTCCTGTTGAAAGCAAGAGATACCCTGTAACCAGATAAGAATGCCCGCCAATGCACATGCACATTTAACTAGTAAGAATGTACTACAATACAATAAAATCGAACAAATAAAGTAGGTTGAGTTAAGTTAATGAGAATCGCTTAGGAAGGCAATATTCCTTGTAGAAGATAAATAGATAACTGGCACCTAAGTAGTCTATCAAGTTTTCTATTTAATGCTGTCGAGTGTGCCGTTTCTACTTATTTTATACGGAAGGCATTAGCACACGGAAAAGTGATGAGAATCGCAAAGAAGGGCATACTCAGTGGCGATGTAACATAGCTATCTTTCTAGTCTGTCTGGCTTCAGTTCATTTTGAGCTAGTTTTGTCTACTCCACGCAGTCTGATGAATCATACAAAGGTCATTAAACACGGTGAGATGATGAGAATCGCAAAGAAAGGCATACTCATTGGAAATGTAACATAATTATCTATCTAGTCTGTCTAGCTTCAGTTCATTTTGAGCTAGTTTTGTATACTCCACGAAGCCTGGCATGTCTGCTTCTGTCTATTTCTTACATAGGGTATTAAAATAACACGGCGAATATCCGCAAGTGAGGGCAGCAGATAAATTTGCACTAGAGGGTAATCGACACCATACACAGCTCCTCCTAGCACATGCTTTCTTGCTGATTTAACCAATATAAGGCCCCAGCTCCCTTTTGCTGTGAGCAAACGATGATGGGAAATTATATTTGTCATATGTCAAAAGAAGCCTTTCTTTCGACCAGTCTTAGATGACAATCTGAAATGATTAATTCATCAAATTGTTGCCTCGAAGGCTTTTGTTTAATTTTATGTGAATAATTACAAAGCTGAAATTTTTGTTGAATTTCCCAAAGTAAATAGATAAAAGTTGCTCAAGTGATTACACAGCTAAAATGAAAACTTTCAACTTGTCCAGCCAGTCGAAATGCCCGGGGTGGACGTGGCTCTTCATTTGATATTTCAATTTTGGATTTCATGAAAAATTGTTGACTGGAAAAGTGCACGCGAAATACTCGAACTGTCGGCCGAGTAAACAAAAAATTGTAAATATTGCCCAAAAAAAAAAAAATTAATTCATAAATATTCAAATGAAAAACCTCATGCCAGGCGAACAAATCTGCGTCAGGACGAGCCAAGTCAAATCAAATTATGGATAATTTATACATACAATTTCCACTGGACTGATGCTGCTCCTCCTGCTCCTCCTGCTGCTCCTGCTGCTGCACAGGATCGCCAAGGCAAGGAACTGTGGCCGCGACGGAAACTGGCCGACTTGGCTTCACTTCTGCCGCTTGATTGAAACTCATTTATCATCATAAATTAGTGCGGAGCGGGGGCATGCGGAATGCGGCATGAAATCAAGGAAGAGATTCATCATGCGCCTGAACGTGGGCGTGGCCGTGGCCGTCAGCTGGGCAGCGGCATGTAATCCAGCTCAGATTGAAAATTAATGAGGTCATCACGTTGCACACACACAGACACACACACACACACACACACACACTTGAAATTCGTTGCTGTAAAATCAGCGACGACAAAAATTATTTACCATTTCTTATATCTTGTCTATTGTGGATTTTTTTCCACTACCATATTCAGTTTAGCAGAACGCGAACAGCCCTCTGCTGCGATACAAGTCAACGCTAATGAAAGAACCTCGTCCATGGGGTGTACTCGACTAGCATGAAATGTACGGAATTGCATGGAAAATTTGATGAAAAAATTATTCTCATACTTCGAGATGGCAAAGATAGTCCGCATGCAAATCTGTTGAGCCACATGTGCTTGGACAGGGTATAGCACAGTCGTTGTTTATGTGCGTTACATTTATTTTTTCTCTCAGCTCGGGCTTTTGTTTGGAGGTGTGTTTATTGTGCCACACTTGTCTCTGGCAGCGACTGGACCAACCCTCCGGTCTTGCCACTAAAATGAACTGCGTTGGAAATAAAAATTAATTGCGGACTGGCTGGTCGGCGGCATGTGGCCGGCTGGCAACCACTTACATAAATCAAAATTCTGCGCATTTAGGGCATTTAGGCATTTCGAATTTTTTTCACAGCCAGCAAATGCAAATAAGATGATAAGGAATGTCCCTCATTTACGATCCCCATTGTCCACGTGGCCCCTATAATTATTTGAGCGATTCATGAGGCATACAATAAATAAAGCGCGCATCTAATTATAAGTCCAACTGTAGTTGTCAAATATTTAATTTTCTTTACTTGTGAACGTATAAGATTGTACGATGTATACATATTTTTGTGAAACTTTGTGCGGAGCATCAAAGATAACATCCCCAACGTCCTATGTACGCAGCCATAAGGTATGTGTTGCGATAGGATGGGACGTGCCTAAATTAAATTGTTGTTTGAAGAACTTTGGGATATATTATTAGTTGACAGAGTGCCACAGAAGTGAGTTGTATTTATTAAATTCTTAATCTGTTCACGGACACTCACAGCCAGTTCCATCGGCAAACGCGTGGCCAAAATCTCTACGCTGATATTGCAATTTATTTAAATAATCTAGCAATAATTCAAATAGCCAAAAGCCCATGAAAGAGCATTAAAAACTGCCCAAAATGTTAACCCTTTTCAACACGAAAATAAAATGGTGATGCAGCCCTTTGCAATCAATTGAAATTGTATTTGTATATATACATATATATACACCTATATAGGCGAATATCTGATAATTTATTACCTTTACATTTTGGCCAGGACGAACCAGTTGGGTTTGGCTGGCAAGGTAATTATTATCGCTGGCCAGCGTGGCGCATACGTAATGAATGGCCGGTTTAAACGGTTTAAGGTTATGTGACATTCTTTTTATGCAGCATCGCAGCAGTTTTTGCCATTTCCCATTTTCCATTTCCATTCACCATTTATACGAGATTTTCCACGAATTTATGGCTTTGACCTTTAAGTGCCACAAGGGAAAACATTTTCATTACATCTCTCATACAAAATAACGAATTTTTTATTATATTTCTTGTGCGCTTTGATATTATTCGTTTCTCGAAAATCTTTAAGAAAATTCAATTAACAATTTGTATTGAATTTCATCTGCTCTTCCCTGATATTATTACACTAAGTAGGCTTTAAATAGAATTTACTAAAAATCTGGGAAGAAATCCAAAAGTCTACACATGTAAATTGCCTTGCTTAGCAAAAATGTCCTTGCCTCGTGTTTTCTTTGACATAACTGCAGATGGGGATAAACTGGGACGTATTACAATGGAACTGCGCTCGGATGTGGTTCCAAAGACCGCCGAAAACTTTCGCGCTCTGTGCACCGGGGAGAAGGGCTACGGCTACAAGGATTGTCCGTTTCATCGAGTTATACCGAATTTCATGTGCCAAGGCGGCGACTTTACCAACCAGAACGGCACAGGTGGACGTTCGATCTATGGCCACAAGTTTCCCGATGAGAACTTTGAGCTGAAGCACTCGGGACCGGGCACCCTGTCGATGGCCAATGCTGGACCCAATACGAATGGCTCGCAGTTTTTTATATGCGTGGGCAAAACTTCGTGGCTGGACAATAAACATGTCGTCTTTGGGAAAGTCGTCGATGGCATGGATATAGTTCGAAAGATCGAATCGATGGGATCTAACTCGGGCAAGACAACCAAGAGGATTGTAATTGAGGACTGTGGCGACGTGTAGAGAGGGGGGGGGCATTTAATTCGAAACGTAATTAAAAACATAATTTTACGTTTCAATTATTGATTAACATTTATTTACTACCTCAAACGTTTGGCCCTTAATTGAACACTTTTTCTGCTGATATTACTCAAGCGATATCCAGATTTACGTATGCTTGAGCTGGGCATAGGCACTGGCGTCGGCTCCTTGTGTGAATCCGGCTCACTGTCGCCGGAGGAGTCCTCCGCTAGACCATAGTTGGATCTGTCAAATCTTTGCAACAATTTGGTGGCCAGCTTGCCATCACTGGGCTGGATTTTGCGGTTCATAAACTTTCTGCAGATAACAGTTTCGGCCTCATCATCCTCAGACACATTCTCGGACCGATGCTCGATGACATTCGTCAATGTTACGGGATAAGTATTAAGTGTGGCTATGTGATTGTAGCCCGAACTGGTTGCCTTATGCCCGGCCACACGATTGCCCAGCGCGACGGCATCTGCCAGAGGCATCTCCCGAACGTAGAGCGCATAAATGATGGCGGCCGTAAAGCACTCCCCAACGCCATAAGTGTCCTTAGCCCTTTGATTTGTGCTTGCGGCCAGTTCGTAGTATTTGCCCTTGTTATCCAAGCAACCGGCACCCAGTGGGCCCCAGGAGCAAATAATGCACGGCCTGCGCACATTGATACTGTATGGCAGAGGCAGAACCTTAGCCAGTTGCAAGCAGGTCTCCTGCACCGACTGCCAGCCCAGATCAAGCGCCAGCTCCCTGGAGAATATCAAATAGTCGCACATATCGAACAGATCGATGTTCTCCTTGTAGCAGCTGTCCACCTTTAGCGATATCTGTATGCAATCTGTGCGTCCATTATTATAATCAAGTATAGCGCGGATCATCGGTATGATATCCAGCTTATTGCGCGCCTCAAAGTGCACCCAACCATAGAGACTTAGATCGAGCTTCTTGAAGTCCTCTATTGTGACATATGGAAAATTTCGGGTGCATTGCAAAATGGTGCGACAGCCAGTCTTGCGTACATTTATAACTGTGGTGAACGCCGGATTCTCATCCGTCCGCGGGCAGTGGCTCAAGTCAATGCCGTTTCGCTCCATTTCTAGCAGTATATCTCGCAGCATACTCGAGCGGCTCAGCACGCCAAAGAATTCCACCTGAGCGCCCAGCAGGCGCAGCACAAAGCTCACATTGCTGGCATGTCCACCGCGCTGCCAACGTGTCTCCACAGACCTGAGCTTCTCACCCGCCCAGGGTCCAGTCTCGCATTGTTCGACGATGTCTACCGACATGCCGCCAACGCACAGCATCGGCTTGGTCATGCTCAGGGCGCAGTATGGACTCATGGTTGCTAAAAAATCAATTCAGTTTTGGAAACTATTTGACATAATTTTGATGGGCGATCGAAACTGTGATTAAAACCAAATAAACGGCAGATAAACAAGAGACTTTGGCTGAAGTCTTTATGAAATCTATGTATGCTCTGATATATGCATTAATAGTAAATAGCAAGAAACAACGGATCGATTAAATATGCATGGTATTATAATAATGATATCAAAGAAACTGAATATATATATGTACTTTTCAAGAAGTTACATGTGTTAAAGCTACAAATTTGGCTATTCTAGCTCTTTAGACTTGAAAGATTCGACTCGAGCTTCATCGATTGCTTGGCATCGGGGCACGTTATCGAATATGGAAAGCAAACTCTTACTTTGCGTTAAATTTTTCAAATCCCTATTTCTTATAGGTTCTGAGATCGATAAACTGACGGACATGGCTAGATCGGACTAAGGGGTTCAGGGCATAATCACAGAAATCAATAGAATCTGCGCAGGTGTCTCTCAATAGGCTATACTAGTAAGAAACTATATGATAACTCTTCTCTAGCTCGTTTGTTGTTGTGGTAGAACTAAGAAAAATGCGTTAATATAACAATATTTTCACTATAATTCTATGTTGTACATCTTGGACAGATCAAGCATTTTGTTGATCAATATTGATACTTTTTCTTGCAGTTATGGTTACTTTTTCGTAAGTTAGAGAAGCGGGCAGTTATTATGACACGACACTTAATTTATTGTATTGTTAGATCTTAAGTTCTCACGCGTTTCCTGACTTTGCTTAAGGTTTTCCCAGCTGCAGCGTGTAAGCCAAATGCTCTGCAACTCTCTAGCTGCTAGTTCCTGAAATTTGAATCGGAATAAATTATTATTTACAAGCTTAAAGCAAGCCTTGACACTCTTGTCTATTCAATGATATGTAGCTATGTGCCCGATTCCGCATTCCGTTTAAGGCTGTACAACAGAACGGACCTACAAGTATTTACTTATTATTTGTTAAAGCTACGAAATCGGTAAATATGTTCACAAACATTTATCTGTTCTGACAGCAAATATATTTATTATTATTTTTTGTTTGTTAAAGAACTGGCGTTTTTTCGCAAATTTTGTAATCAAGCAAAAATGTCGCTGCCACGTGTTTATTTCGATATCAACGCCGGCGGCGAGAAACTTGGTCGTATCGTAATGGAGTTACGCTCGGATGTGGTTCCAAAGACCGCCGAAAACTTTCGCGCTCTGTGCACCGGGGAGAAGGGCTACGGCTACAAGGGCTCTCCATTCCATCGCGTCATACCAAATTTCATGTGTCAAGGTGGCGATTTCACCAATCAGAATGGCACGGGCGGACGTTCGATCTATGGCCACAAGTTTCCCGATGAGAACTTTGAGCTGAAGCACTTGGGGCCGGGCACCCTGTCGATGGCCAATGCTGGACCCAATACGAATGGCTCGCAGTTCTTTATATGCACCGAGAAGACCTCCTGGCTGGACAACAAGCATGTCGTCTTCGGTCGAGTTGTGGACGGCATGGATATCATACGCAAGGTCGAATCGATGGGCTCCAATTCTGGGTCAACCACAAAGAAGATTCTTATTGAGGACTGTGGCGCTTTGTAAAGAGGGACGCACACACCTCTTTATTTGGCTGTCAATGATATTTCGAAATGACATTTTACTCAAATTTTCAATGTTGTTCGAGACAGTTTAAAATACACATACATATGTTTGGGCGTTGCAAGCAAAGTTCGTATTTTCGTGTAGGCTAATATTTCTTCACGTCTGTTATCTGGGCTTAAAGCTTTGGTAACAACTAGGCCCAAAGTTGCTGAGCATTGGGACCTTCTGTTTATTTTGGTTCAATTTGGAGAACTATATATATATTTCACTTCCTTACTTAAAAGATATTTGTGCCCATCTCTTAAAAACAAATCTTTCAATCTAATCGGTAGACAAAAAACGAATTCCAAGGCATCTTTCCTTTTCTGGAGACTTCTTGCTTCCACAAAAGCCAAGATCTGCCGTTTCATAGCAATGCCTTTTTCTCCTTTTAAAAAGCCTTATAGCAAGCTTTCATTTTTCTTTTAAATTTAATGCCTACACAAGTTTCCTGAGCCTACAATATTTTCTTTTTTTTTTTGCTTACATGTGCTTACAACATTGTCATTTTATTTATTTTTATCTGAACAAAATTATGAGTCTGAATATATAATAGAATAAACGGTATACGAAAAAGTTTTTGCCATTTGGAGATGGACGAGCCGAATCGAAAATTAAGCTGGGCAGTCGGCAAGAAGACGGTTCTGTGTGTGGGATACTCGGTGATCGACTGCATAACGATCGTTAGGCGATTTCCAAGGATCGATGAGATCGAGCGCGGCGTCAAGGGCTACTGGCAACGGGGCGGAAACGCGGCCAATACTTGCACTGTTTTGCGGAATCTGGGAGTGGACGTGGAATTCTTTGGTGTGTTGAGCACATCGCCCATGTTCAGCATTATGCTGCATGATATGAAAGTGCGTGGCATTAAAATAGACAATTGTCCACGCTCCAATCAGGATCCGCCATTCTCATCGGTTATAGTCAACAAGTCGTCAGGGACATGCACCATTGTCAACTGCAATAACTCATTTCCATACCCAAGTCTGGAGGATTTTAAAAAGCTCGATCTAAGCAAGTACGGTTGGATACATTTTCGAGGCAATAGACCCGAAATCACCTTCGAAATGATGCAGGCTGTGGAGGCCTATAATGCAACGCAAACTGAAAAAATTGTAATATCTGTGGATATGGACGGATCGTTTAAAGAACACTGGCCGCTGGTTGACTACTGTGAATATGCCTTCTTTTATAGACAATTGGCCGATCAACAACAATGGAAGTCGCCAAGGCAGGCCTGCAACAGCATCGACGAGCATCTGGCCATGCGATTCGGCATTAATCTCAAGCGACCTTTAGTCGTTGTTCTATGGAATCTACAAAAAGTCGGCATCATGGACCATAATAGCGATTACCATCGCCCGACTGCCTACAGGCCCAAAAAATTTGTCGACAGCCTTGGCGCAACGGAAGTGTTCATTGGTGCCTTCATCTATGCCGTTTATGTGCGCGAGCGTTCCCATCACATCGCCGCCAACTTTGCCAATCTGATGGCCAGTTACAAATGTATTAAATGCGGCTTCGATCACATTTCCGATATCTTGATGGCACCTGTACTGTAAATGTTGCAATTGCATTTTCCTATTCAGCAATGAAAAACTCCTTTGTGGTTAACAATCGATTTTGTTTCTATAGTAGTCCGATTTTGATAAGGTCTGACTCATGTGTGTGGCCAGATAAAGAATATATATATGTATTTATATACTTGCCTCTAGTCAACTTAAAGCCACATCGGAAGTAGCTTGAGCTTGACTTTAATTCAGTGCACTCGAATGCTTTTTAAGCTCAGATCACAGTTTAATTTCAGCAGCTCGTAAATTGCAGAGAACTTGTGCACGGCATAATTGTGGCATGATTAATTCCACAGTCAGCCAGAAGTTGGTCAGGCGTAAAATAAATGCGCAAAGTTACAAAAGTTGTAGAAAAATGTACGTATTTATGTATATTTTGCAGATTAAGCAATAGTCGGTTGGCTGGCTATGGGAGGGCAGTTAGTGTAAATGTTATGCATGGCATTAAGCGACAGACACAAAACGAGAATGTTTGCCGGTCATTTATCATGGCGGACAACAACAAGGCGGAGCGACAAGGAAGCAGCAACAATTTCGTCAGGAATTTAAGTGACAATTTTCATACAATTTCCACAAGCCGAAAGGACACACGGCACAACGCGGCGTATGAGCGATGATGACGATAATTTCGGCTGGCTAAGAGAAATCGATAAATGTCCAAGCATTTGACATGCGACAAAGACAACCAACTGGAAGTACTTCCGGGCATGGAACTCCATTCCCTTCATTTTTTTGGGTTTTTTCTTTTTCTCTTTCAAGATACCGCGTGATTTTCAGAATGTTCATGTATACTCTGCGTACACTCTGTACTAAATATAGTTATAAACTAACTATCAGGGCTTCAACATGTTTAATGCAAAGCTAAAAGTATGCTGACCAAGGCCATTAACTAATTTTTATTATTTTCTTTGCAATTTCAATTATTTTTCTACTTTGACCAGCTTATTGAGATTGTAGCTTAGATGCTTGAACCTTGGTTTGGTACAAAACATCCCAAGCAATTGCATTACGACTTAATTCGACAGATGCCAACTTCAAGTATGGATCAAATGATGTGCACATAGCTTATATTAAAAACTCTTGAGTAAAACGTTTAATAAAATTGTTAAAAAAATTATAAAATTATTAAATAATATATGACTAATACAGGTTCGAACCCAAACCGAGCTCATTTATGTGGAAAATCAGGCGCACGCAGCGAACCTTAAGTTGAGGAGTAGGTACCTTAGGATTGACTGCTGGGTATCTGTCCGTCGTGCTGGTCGCACTCTTTTCAGTTTCTGCTGACTATTGCAACGTCGAACAATGCAAAACCCAAAATTATGCGTCGCAAATGCGACAAAGCTAACGAGGGGAAAGGGAGGCGCCACTCCAGGCCAAGATGCAGACACAGTCAGAAACGCTTCAAAGCGGCTTCCGGCCGTTGCAGGAACACACAGCGACAATGGCACACACACACGCGCGCACACACACACACACACACACAGCAGGCCGCCATTTATGTAAATTAAAAATTATTTCGACTGTAAAAATTCAGCGGGAATTGTTTTTGGCAAGCGTCGCTGTTGTCTCTGCGGCCCATTTGCAACAAAAACAGCAACACACACACACAGAGAAACACACACACACACACACACACACACTTACTACAACAAAAGCAACTAGGACCTTGGCATTTGAGAAAAAGCATTTGCTTTTTAACTACATTGGCTGTTAAGCAGATCTAAAAAATAGTTATTGTTATTATTGGCGGTTGTTTTAAGCCACAGCGCA